GTCTTAAGGAAAGGTTCTATGGGAGAGGGCCTGAAGTTTGTCTTGCCAGTTACTCAAATGGCTTACCGTATGGGTGGAATTTACCCGGTGCCAGACTTAGCAAACCAGAGCACTTCATTTTAGAGCCTTTTTGGGCACCTGATACCAAATCGTTCTTACAGGAGGAGGATACCTTCAGCTAGGGCGATACTGGTGAAAAATCACCCGTGGACATTCCAATTAAAGAGGTCTGTGTTAGGGTTCAGGATTTTGTGTTAAGAGCTTGTAGGGATTCGTAGTTCTTACTAGCACGTTCCTGAAGACTGGGTACAGGAAATCTACGGCTACTCACTGGGGCTCTCTGATAGGGCAGGATGCTCCAACCAGTTCTGTGGGCCCTACCTTGTTTTCTGATGATCTCTGGAGAGCCTCCTGAGGAGATTAACATTTCAAACTGGATGGGGGCCAAGAGTGGACTTTCTGAACAGCATGAATCAAGGTGTGGTGGAATAAGACCCTGTGTTTCCAATCAGAGCAGGCTTAGAGCACTTAGAAAAAGAGGCCAGAGATGGCTCAGCGCCTGTGGCTCAAGTGGCTAAGGCGCCAGCCACGTACACCTAAGGTGGCGGGTTCAAATCCCCAGCCCGGACCTGCCAAACAACAAGGACGGCTGCAACAACAACAAAAAAATAGCTGGGCGTTGTGGCGGGTGCCTGTGGTCCCAGCTACTTGGGAGGCTGAGACAGGAGACTCGCTTGAGCCCAGGAGTTGGAGGTTGCTGTGAGCTGTGATGCCACAGCACTCTACCCAGGGGGACAGCTTGAGGCTCTGTCTCAAAAAAAAAACAAAAACAAGAACACAATCCTTAAGAAATGGAACAATTACCCAGGGGGACAGCTTGAGGCTCTGTCTCAAAAAAAAAACAAAAACAAGAACAAAAAGAGGCCAGAGAGATGAGCCCTGGGTGTGATGAAGTGACTAGGATGAATTCTAAAAATAATGGCTTAGCTGGGCTACTTCCTCATTTAGATACCACTCTTTTTTTTTTTTGAGGTAGAGCCACAAGCTATCCCCCTGGGTAGAGTGCCGTAGCATCACAGCTCACAACAACCTCCAACTCTTGGACTCAGCCTCCCAAGTAGCTGGGGCCACAGGCACCCACGACAACACCTGGCTGTCCTTTGGCGGATTCGAACCACTACCTTAGGTGTATGTGGCTGGCGCCTTAGCTACTTGAGCCACAGACGCCAATCCTAGATATCACTTTATATCACCTCCTAAGGAGCAATGCCTCCCAGGGACTCCCATCATACCACCCTAATTCTGTCGTCTGAGGGTACTTAGCACTAGCTGATCTTGCCCTTTGCAGTTTACTGTCTGCCCCCTCCCAGCCTTAAGAAGAAAGGCTATTAGGTGGCGCCTGTGGCTCAAAGGAGTAGGACACCGGCCCCATATGCTGGAGGTAGTGGGTTCAATCCCAGCCCCAGCCAAAAACTGCAAAAAAAAAAAAAAAGATCAAAGGCTATTTTATGTTGTAATGCTACTGCCTAAAGCAGCCTGGCACACAGTAGAGTAAAAATTATCTGTTAAATGAATGAGGAGTATGTAGGTAGAAGTGGCAGCAAGGAGAGGCTGGATAATTCAAGTGGCATTACTTTGGAGTTAGTCTAGGGCAAAATAGCAATAGCTAATAGTTACATAATTCTTACTAAATGCCAGGCACCATTCCAATTCTTACATATTAATTGATTTACTCTTCAGAATAACTAAAAAACGTATCACTGCGGCATACCTGTAGATTAACTTGTTCAGGGTCACATAGTAAGTGGGGAGGTAGAATTTAAATTAAAACCCAGCTCTGGGGCGGTGCCTGTGGCTCAAAGGAGTAGGGTGCTAGCCCCATATGCCGGAGGTGGTGGGTTCAAACCCAGCCCCGGCCAAAAAAAAAAAAACAAACCCAGCGCTGTCATCCCAGTTTCTTTATCTATGAAATGAGGATAATAATAGTACTATTATTATGTATTAAGGAGATATTATGTACTATGTTCTATGTATTAAGGAGATACTGCCTGGTGTGTTGGTTTTGTTTTTTGTTTTTGAGGGCATGTAATCTGGGGGTTAGGGAGAGAGAAATATTCTTACATCCTATGGGGAAGGAGCCAGTAAAGGGAGATTTAGAAAGCCAGAAAAGAAAGGAGAGGACCAGCGTGGATGAAGGAGGGGCTCCTGGTCCATACCAATCTGAGAATAAAAGTAAGAGTGGACACCTTGGTAACTAGTGCCCTGAGTGTACACGAGAATGTAGGTTCTAGAGGCAGGCCTTACTGTCTAGCTGTGTAAGTGCCTCTTACATGTCTAGGTATAAGAATTAAGGTGATTCCTGTTTGCTGGACTCTTACTTGGGAAGAACAAAGTGTTTTCTAAGCAGAGGAAAGGGAGAGAAGGCTGGATGTGCAACTACTTGCACACTGTGGAAGATTTGATCTCATTTAAAAACACATCATGGCTCGGAGCCTATAGCTTAGGGGCCAGGGCGCCAGCCACATATATTGGAGCTGGTGGGTTCAAATCCAGCCCAGGCCTGCCAAAGAACAATAACTACAACAACAACAACAAAAATAGCCAGGCATTGTGGTGGGTACCTGTAGTCCCAGGTACTTGGGAGCCTAAGGCAAGAGAATTGCTTAAACCCAAGAGTTTGAGGTTGCTATGAGCTGTGACGTCATGGCACTCTACCCAGGGCGACAGCTTGAGACTCTCAAAAAAAAAAGTCCTGGCTCGGCTCCTATAGCTCAACCGGCTAAGGCGCCAGCCATGTACACCTAAGGTGGC